TGAGTTCAACAATAGTCTGTTGTTGTAAGGCACACCCTAATTCCTCTACAGCCAAATGACGGTGCTGGCTGAAATGACGGACGGAATAATTGGAGCTTGAAAGCGGCTTGCCACGATGTCAGAACGCGTATCACCCGGTGACATGATTCTTAAGGATATCTATGGAGATACGCGGGACGAAGTCGTAAGTATTCACTAGTCTATTGCTGTGATTGCCCTCATACATTACGGCTTGCTTGTACTTAAAGAGGGGTAATGTATTACCCTGCCAGGGACTGGATATCGAGAAAAAGCTGAAGTGTAGCACAAAGTCTGATAGAGCAGGGTTGCTGATGAACGCTTGGTAAAGGAGTCGGATTGGTGATGGATATGCAAGATCGAAAAAAAAAGGTTCCGTTGAGAATGTTCTAGACAAGGCTGCATGCTTTCAGCCGCTCCTGCGTCCTCCTTTAGGAAGTCGATGATTCTGCAGAACGACTTCGTTGCGGATATCGGTCATCGTGCCGGGGTGGGAACAAACAGACAGGTAACCAAATATTCCTTGTCACTCGAATTATTTGTCGAAAATGTCTGAATAAATAGTTCGACTCGCCCGCGAATGCCTGATGTCGACAAAAAGCATCCCGCGGTCGGCGCCTCTAACCCATCCCCCAAACCATCAACACACCGGCCTGGATGCCTCTGGCTCCTTGCAGCATCTATCGGCCTTGTCACACTCGTCGCGTCGAGTCTCGGAGTTGCATTCATCATCCCAAAGATTGTCGCTGGGCTTGCTGTCCAACGCGCCCTCTACTATAAAGGAGACGTGCACAAGGATTCAGACGTTGCTCGTCCGCTGATTGGGCCCGAACAGACCTTCGATCTTGCGGTCACGGTGTGGCTTCGGACAGAAGAACACGAAGACGACCTTGACCCTGATCGTGAAGAAGAAGAAGTATCCGAACATCCGCGTTTCAATCCTCTACCTCCTGCCATCCCACTGTATTCCGACACCGTGTTCCGGGGTCTCCGTCTGAGGGACAAAGACGTATTTGCTACGGTGAATTTCACTGTCCCAACTGCGTATTTGTAAGTCGCTGTGCTCATAGAATAAACAACGTGTCGGGACTTTATCTCGTTTCTGCTAGTCGCAAACCCGATCTGACGAGTTACGACCTTCGCGGCTCGGTCGTTCTGTTACCCACCTCGCCGTCGCCACTCGACGAGATCATCGACTTTTCGACCTCGATACCTGACTTTCTGGAAACTTTTCCTGTCCGTTCGTGGCCGTACGTCAAATCCACGCAATGTGCACCTAATGCTCAACCCTTTCAAGGTTTCCACTAGGCTCTCCGCGTGTGGGCAGGAAGACTCTAGCGGATAAAGCAGTAGAAAGCTTCGGTGCCTCTGTTCCGCTGCTTGAATTTCACAACATCCGTAAGAGGTGTGCAGACGCAGAGGACAATTTTTACGAGGAAGATGATGGAAGCATCTCATCCACCACGGAATTCAAATCGCCCTTGACTCATCACCCCTATATTGTCACTCGGTATGCACACAGATTGAGCGCGAGGGCTGGCTTTTCACCTCTGATAGCACTCAAATCCGTATTGTCGACGAGACGGCACTTTTCGACAAAAGGGCATATCTAAAGAAGCATCGGTTGCTCAAGCGTATGTCTGTAGGTCACATTCTGCTTTACGACTTGGATTTGCGCTCTCACCACGACTTGCCGTTGGAACAGTGTAAACAGCAAGAGATGTTGTTTCCCTCTATACATGACTGCGACAGATCCTATGTCAACGTTGGCCATGTCGAGACGGCTATAACACTAAAAGGGGCAGAACAAGGGTTCAAAGAGGTCGTATATCCCCCATACATCGCTTTCTCTAGATCTGCTGGCCCGAAGGTAAGGTGACCGCGAACTCGATCTCAACAGCCAGCCACCGACTACTTTCTAGGATCTCCTTCCGATTCCAGTGCATCGACAAACTTGCTCGACGACAGAGGACACCATCCAAGCAACTGCTGATGACCTGGAATCGGTGGACGTGTCCTGGAAGCTCTCATTCTCCGGGCAGTCTTACCCAAAGTTTGCTTTCCTGGAGGAGATGGAAAAGCTCAATGGCCAGACGAGATTCGATATGGAGGGCAGCGACCACCACCTCACGCTGGCCCATGATCAAGTGGAACTCACAGGTAAGCCCAATACCACAAAATATGTACTGAGTAAGCATGTTCGTCCAGACGGTCTCTATGGGTACAAGCATCGCCAAAATTCGCACCCAAGGCGCCGTTCCCTGCTGCTAGCCCTGCAGTGAGTTCTCTGACCTCCGAGCTCCAGTCATCACGCCGACCCTCCCCAAGGCTCGCTCTTTCCATCCTAATCGTCTGTCTCGATGGTGTCTACTGGTATACCCGGACATCAACCGTCGGGATCAGCACCCTCGGCACTCTTCTCTTCGCCAGCTCCAAGTCCATCGAAATCGTCGTGCCTGACCTCGTCACGGCCTCGCTACACAACGAAGGGATTCTCGACTGGTCAGGCACTCTCTTCAATATCTCCCTATCGCTCTTCCCTGTCGTCTTCATGGTAAAGACCGTCTGTCACCTTGCAAGCCCTCGGCCCGGGAGGCCCTCATGGACGCGCTGGATCCCGCATCGGACGCCATCAACACACGCGGAGCGAGCGAGCCAGCGGATCGAAGATCGAATGAGCTCCTGGTCCAAGGCCTGCGTCAGTACCTCTCCACTCTCCACTAACAAATCCCACGGCTCACGCATGGGGTGCACCAGATCGTCCTCGGCGCCATCGCCACATACTCCGCCGTCTCCCCACACACCTACCCTCTGATCCCCGCGATCCTGCCCGCGGCGCTCCCAGGGGACTACCACCACAGCCGGCTGGCCGACACCTGGCCCTGCATCGCCCTCCCGCTGGGCCTCACGGGCGCGTTCTTCCAGCTCTGGTTGAACGCGCAGTCCCGGTCCTTCGCCGGCGATATCAGGCTTTTGATTTTGCATGCTGCCAGATGCCTTGGGTTTCCATAAAGGCCCTTAACTGCTAGTTTGTGATATCAGCTTGTAGGTAATTTTATACTAAATATTGGTGTTCCCTTCCTCGACAAAAGGAAAACTTCGAAAAGAATGACGAGAGTGGGATTCGAACCCACGCCCCGAAAGACCAGATTAGATAAGCGGCAGCTGCTTTGGCCTTAGTCTGGCGCCTTAGACCGCTCGGCCATCTCGCCATGTTGTTGTGTATGTATCTATAGGTTATGTCAGGGCGGCACACTAGACAGGGACCTCGTCCGGAACGGAATGCTGCTCGGCCGTGCCTCGGCCCTCGCGCGACTGGAACTGTGGCGCCGGACTCGCAGCGTGCCGAGAGCTGAGGGCTGAGGGCTGACTCCTCTCACCGGTCGCAAGTGCGCTGTTTGGGGAGGATGATACTGATGGACGTGGGTATGACGCTCGATACGCGTTTTGCGGGAATGCAGCGCGCAGCGCTCAGCGTTCGATGCGTGACTCCGCACGCACGCACGCTGCTTGGAAGATCGGCTCGAGGGAGCTTGCTGTGGACACGCGCGCATAAAACATGGAACATGGAACCGTCGCATCCAGAGCCAGCCGACACGCGACACACGACACGCTACACGCTACACCCCACCCGCACATCCCAGCCCCAGCGGGACGTCGACAACCGCCGCGTTCCCCAGCCTCGTCTCGCGGTACCGCACCCTCACCCACGCCTGCCCCCCCCCGTCCTCGCCCCCGCCTTGTCGAGCAAGATCCCCTTCGCCGTGTCGACGCACGCCTGGAGCCGCGCGGCTGGGCTGGACGCGGTGCAGAGCTCGATGCGCGAGGGGCGAGAGCATGCTGATGATCGTCTGTGCGGCCGAGTGAGTACGATGGAGGGAGGGTCCGAGGGAGGGAGGGGCAGGGGCTACGCACGGCGTCGTCTGCGCAGTTTAGCGAGATCTCGTCGAGGTTCGGCACGCCTTTGACGAATCCTGCACGCGCACGCGCGCGCGTCGGTCAATGGAGTTCGACCAGCGACTCGGTACTCACTCTTCATCATGTTAACGTCAGGCTCGAACCCCCTGAGCACGCGCACCTCCCTGCACGCATTCGCGATGGCGCCGACGAGCTTGCCGCCGTCGCCGCAATTGCACATGACGGCGCGCGCGGCGGGGCACGCGCGCAGGACATTGTGCGTGTGGGTCGGGAGGACGACGGTGTGCACCTGCGGGAGCGCGAGCGCGAGCGGCGCGAACGCGAGCGCGCGCTTGAGGTGCGCCGTCATCTGCGTGTGCGCGCGCAGGATCTGCAGCGTGTGCAGGCGCGGCAGGGCTTTGAGGCACTGTGCGAAGGCGGCGAGGGCCGTGGGGGCTTTGCAGCGCGTGAGGGCGACGCTGACGGTGCTGTTGTGGCGGGAGGGAAGGTTGGTTGGGTGCAACGGCAGAGGACGGGCGGCGCTCACCGGACGTGTTTCGCGTGGTCGGGACTGTGCGCGAGGCCACGGGAGCGTTTTCGAGAGCTTGGGCGATGTATTTGTACCATGCTCCAGAGAGATAAAAGTCGGTTGACACGCGGGATTGGTGTGGCGTTGGCGAATGACGCACAGGGATTCACCTCGAGACGCTCCCACAGCTGGGGCAGGAACACCGCGCGGGCACGGCACGTCTGGGAGAGCGCGCGGAGGGCATGCGCGCGCTCGAGGGTCGAGGAGGAGAGCAACGGCGCATGCGGGACCTTCAGAGTCGGGACGCGCACGCTGCAAAAGTAGGACAGGACCTCGAGCCAGATCTCGTTGGGCAGCTCGAACACGACCCCCACGGCTTTCGGCACGGGTTCCGGCGCAGCGTCAGGCGGGGGATCGTCATCCGTCGGGCGGACGCGCTTTTGAGGAGGCATGTCCAAGGTGGAACTGAATTTCTGGACGGTGAGTGGGACTATTGTGCGCCCCTCGCCAGGCACCATCGTGGTGACTTGTATCTTGTGATAGCATTAAGTATCGTACACCGATGGTGAAGCGGTTATCATGCTTGCCTTCCATCCGTTCAACCAATCACGATTGCAGCAAGCGGCAGGGGTTCGACTCCCCTTCGGTGTATTTTTATTCGGACGGCGTCCCGTGCCACCAAAGGGGCGCAGACATGAGGAGGCCACAGTCCCTCCCATGCTGACAGCATCCACCATGGGCCTCTCGCGTCCTCCCAAGCGCAGAAAACTCGCTCCCCCGTCCGCCAACGACGCCCCCGCCAAGCCCCTCCCCGCCCCAGCGCACGTCCCACCCGCACCCTGCGTCTCCTGCCACCGCGCGCTCAAAGCAACACAAGGCCTCCTCACATGTGCCCGGTGCGCCTGACTCCACTCGCCCTACTCCCCACCTCACTACCAACGCCGCACAGGTGCGCCGCGCCGACGTGCGCCATCTGCGCCCGCACGTGCACCGCCTGCCCGTCCTCGCTGCCGCCCACGCCCTTCCTCACGCGCTCGCCCACGCCCACGCCCGCGCCCACCCTTCCCCCTGCGCCGTCGCCCCGACGCCCGGCGCTCGCACTCGCGCTCCACCCGACGGACACCCCCCGCGGCGAGAAAAGGCGCAAGGGCGCGGAGGAGGACGAGGACCCGCAGGCGGGCGTTTTGCGCGCGCTGGCGGAGTTTGACCTCGTGCCTGGGTGCGGCAGGACCGTGTGCCGCAGGTGTTGTGTCGAGGATCGGGAGAGGTGTGTCTGTGGCCGATGCGATCGGTTGTGCATTGTCTTTTTGCTCTTGCTGATTTGACTTTTGGAAGTGCGTCGACGGCGTGCTATGATTGCTTGGAATGCGATGCGACGGCTGGGTTCGGTTTCGGTTTATGATTATGATTGTGATTGTGATTGTGATTGCGCGTGGCTTGGGTGTGCTTGTGCTCATGGCCCGAATCACCTTACTTACTTACTTGCTCTTCATCACACTATACCTATACCTCAAATTGTACGATCGCCCCTCCGTCCTCGAATCCCATTCGAGTCCTCTTGCCGGACCTAAGTACTCGTGCACGCGGAACACGCTCTGGTCGCTGCCGACCGAAGAGAAAACGAGAAACGCGGGCGGACGGGTAAATGCACAAGATAAGCGCACCGCAGCGCAATCGTCCCCGTCCGTGCCCATGCCCGTGTCCCTCGCGCTAGCTACGCCTATATGTATATACCTTTCCTCGACCCGTGCACAGCCCACTCACCGACGCGCTAATCACCGCGCGTCGGGCCGGCGCGTAGCCTCCGGCGATCAAATCCCGATGTACATTGTTAAGCGTTATGTACTTGCAGGACCACGCTCTGCAGATCCGATATGTCCACACCTCCGAGTCGCCGACCGATATACATGTACAATGGAGCAAAGTAGCGAAGTAGGAAGAGAAAAAAAAAAACACGGGAAATACACGAGGAAGCGTACATACCGCAGCGGAATCGTTCCCCGTCCGTGCCCGTTTCCTCAGCTCACCTCGCCTCGTCTCGCCGTATACATAATACGTACATATTTCTATTTCGAATCGCGCAACACAGCCCAGCCCGATCACCACACAACGCCAATCACCAGCCCTTCAAACGCGCATCACGCATCACGCATCAACCACCGGATAGGCGCGTCGCGTCGGGCCGGCACGCAACGTTCCTCCGTCCCGAGGGTGGTTGTAAGAAACCCATGCATGCTGCTGCTGCTGCATACGGAAGAAGGAGAAATCTGTTTATTCCGCCGGCAAGCCGCGATACAGGGCTAAGAGGCGGGGGTAAAGTAGGGTTTGTACTATCTGTTGACCGTCATTGTGGTATTCTTGTTTTTTAGCGTTCAGTAATATAGCTTTCCTCGCAGTTTTGCGTGGCATATGTACTTGACGCGGTCACATCGCGAAGTACCTGTGTCTTTGCGCACGCGAGGTGTCTGGGCCCCGGTGGTGTGTGTTTTCCTCGTCCCGCCGGTCTTTTTCCCTGCGTCCCTCGCGTTCAATTCGTCTTCCATGCCTCCTTTCCTCCTAACGCTCTCCTTCTACCTCAACGCGTTCAGTCTCATCTCCTCTTCTCCCCCGTCTATCAGGTCGTCCGCTCCTTCCCGCAGACGCCCTGGTAGACGGGGGAAAGGTAGAAGAAGGGA